GCCATATGATGATATCAGTGGGCCTGCTTTCTATTTATTTTACAGTGGTTCGAAAAAAAGCCAGCTCAATGAGCCAACCATTTTTCTTTCTTCTTGATAGTTTGACTATATAATGTTCAAGATTTTTTTTTTAAGGTAAAAGCCTTACTCCAATCAACACAAATAATCCGAGATTATCTTATACCTAAAAGCCATCGATTACTGACTTGCCTGAAAGTGAAGACAGGTTCCCACCATCCCAACAAACCTTCTCTTTCACTCTCTTACCTCTCAATCCCCTTCCCTCCCTACTAGTCTTGGTTTTTATGACCATTTTTATTTTAATTCTCAAATATCTCAACTTGTCTTAGCTTTATGGATTAAATAAAGTAAATTTAAGAGATGTGTATATGTGGAGTACGCTCAAATGCCAACCTGAACTCCTACGTCATGATTTGTAGACAAGAAATGAATAGTTAAGGAGGAATGAGTTTGCGAGTCGTGTCACTTATGCTGTATTTGGTTGGTTTGAAGGAAAAAATAGGAAAAGGAAGGGAAATGACTCAGAAATTATATCCTTAATGTGCTTCCTCAAATGACCCAAAAATCATATCCACACAACTTAGCTTGGGGCTGAGAAGAAGCTTCTATGTTCCTTTCCCAACCCTCCAAAAACCTTGTTTTGTGTTTCAAATTAAATACACTCTGCTATCGGGGTTCATCGGAAACCGTCGGATCAAAGAATAGTAGATTAATTTTGATGCTCGGAGAAGAGATATGCAATTGGAATTGTAGCAAGGAACAATGAGGGGCAATGTTTTGTTCGTGGTCAGCAAGGATATAAGATATTAGAGTTTGTTCTTTAATGAATTCGGATCTGTTCCTCACATAGCACTCCTTCACACCAACCTCACAGTATATCCCAGGCTTCCCAGCCATACATTTAGAACAATTTCCCATAAATAACAACATAAATGTTCCCCTACAAGTATGGGTGCCAATTGGACAAGATTTGGTCCAATCCAATTCAGTCCCATATGAGCTCATTACAAATGGACTAGGTCCAATCCAATTTAATGAATATTTTAGACCGGTCCAATTCAAGGTCTAGACCATCCAATTTGTTCAAATTAGTTTTAATTTAGAGAGTATTCTATAGTGTGGATGAGAAATTGGTGAGTGTGGACTGGTCCACACCACACCCTATGATAGGGACCAATCCACACCACAGTCCACAGTTATTTAGAATTGTGGACAAATTGTGTGGACTAGACCAGTCTACACCCACAGTGGCGTTCTATAGCGTGGTGTGGACCAATCCACACCACACTTTTTTTATTCCATGTATCTAATGTACATTTTATGAATGATATACACAAGTAATCATAAATATCCAATTTTTGCATTTTGTTTGATAAATATTTTAAAAAGATGCATCAATGAATTAACATTAACCAATAAATATTATTTTTTTTATAAAATAATCAAATTTTAATATATATATATATTAAATATTTAATAATATTATTTTATTGATAAAAACATTAAAAATTATAAAAAATAAAAAATTAAGTAAAATAATTATTATTTTATTAAAAAATATTATTTAAATAATTGATAAAAAAAAATTTTGCAAGATAAGTATAGCATCTAACAATTTATGCAAACTAATAATCCATTGATTCCCGTACTAGTTGTAAGGCAAGCATAACATCAAAATATTGTTCAATTGGTTTCCTAAAATGGTGCATGGATAAACCACCACACCTAATGCCATGGGATGGGAACTAAACAGAAGCAAGATGATTTCCAAGTGTATAAGGCTTGCTGAATCCATGGATCCAATGAGGTAAACAGTTTGTCTATTCACTAGCTAAAGGCTTCATTTTTCAGTAATTGAGCAATTACAGAAAATGTTCACAAGTTGGCCATTTCTGCAACAGATCTGAATTTAAAACTCATGAGATGGCGTGCTTTGCCATCTTTAAAACTAAGCATCTTGTCAACTACCAGGTGCCTTCTTAGGAGTAGGGACACTTGGGTGACAGGTTGTTCGTATGCTCATGGTGAGTACCTGCAGGCTTGGGGTGTCCGGAAAATTACTCAACTTGACAATGGTAGAGTGGCTATGTCTAATCCATTAAGGCAGTCACTGTATGCCTTCAATGACTGCCTCAATATTGGTGATTTCAAAGCCATGGCAGCAGCTAGAAGTCTCAAGCAAAAATTTCCAGCTGTGGTGATTTTCTTTAGCTTATCAATCTTTGTAGACCTGTCCAACATTTGGAATGGTGTTTATTTCTCAATCCATGCATCTATGTTGTACTTTGTAGGAAGCTGAAGGCATTGTAATGGCAATACCAATGCCTGGATAACCGGTGACAACTCAAGAAGAAGGTAGTGTGGTTGAAGATTGCAGACGTTTTCAAGATTTAATTATTTCTGATGATGCAGTTTTCTTGTTGACTGTACAAGGGAAAGTATCAAAAGATGCCTCAAACGGGAAAATATCAAACAAATGAGATGATGACAAGGAATACAAAATGTGTCGGATAATCAGCTCTCATTAAGAGTAAGGAAGAACAAAATGTGACATAGTTCTCAAAATTGAACCAGATTGGACAGTTGGATCAGAAAAACTGGGATGACCGGTTCCATTTTACCCCAAAACCACTTTTTGGCCAAAAACTGTTGACTTGGTCAGTAAACCATAACTTTAGCAGTCAAACAGTCAATCCAGACAACAGTTTTTTGACCTTTTTTGTGTTTTTTATTTTTTTAAATTTTTTATTTTTCTACCAGAGTGGGTCGTCCATTCAGACTGAACGATCAGACCATTCAACCCAGGAACCCGGACGCAGAACAATTCCCCGTTCGGTCCGCCGGTTTTAAAAACCTTGGGCTTTGATGACCCCCCGTGGAATATCAAGCCAATATTGGACGATTCTTATGAAGTGCGCTGAGCTAATGATCTATCAGTCTTTTACATGCATGCATGTGTTTTTGGGTGAATTGTGCTGCGAACTGGTTGGCAAGTTTTGGCCATACTAGCTAGTTTGATGGTCAATTGCTCTTTTCTTAGTTGGTAGTTTGGGCATATTTGATTTTGCATGTGATGCTTGGGGAAAGGCTATTCCCCATTTTGTGAAGTCTCTAATATTTATTTTCCATCCTACCAAATATATATATATATATATATATATATATAAGGGCTCATTTGGTTCGTAGGAATAGAGGTCTAGAATCAGAATCAAAATGGGTTATTTCAATTCTAATCAAGGTTTTTAAAACCAATTCGGAGAATGAACCGGTTGGTTCTCGGGTCAAACGGTCCAGTCGTTTGAATCAAATGGTCGGCCCATTCTAACAAAAAAATAAAAAATTTTAAAAAAATCAAAAACAATCAAAACCATTCAAACAGTTCGAACGGTTAACTGCCCGAGTCAGTGGTTTGCTGACCAAAATCAACGGTTTTTAGAGAAAATTCGGTTTTGGGGAAAAATGAAACCGGTTCCTGGTTTTTCCAGTCCATTCCGATTTTGAAAACCATGATTCTAACTATTTGGTTGTATGGAATTAGAATCCCATTCCCAATATTCCTGGTAGAACGGCATTAATCCATTTGAGGGAATGGTCATTCCCATTCCAACCGATTCCAACTACTGTCTGAATCAAACATACTATAGAAATAGACCATTCTAATTCTAAACAGACGATAGAAATGGACCAATCCAATTCCAATTCCAAAACATGTTGATTTCAATTCTAACTGTCTGGTTGGATTGAATTGAAATCCTATTCTTATTTCTGATAGAATGGCATTCATACATTTAAGGGAATGTCCATCCCCATTCCAGCCGATTCCAACTACTGTTTGAACCAAACAAACTATATAAATAGACCAAATTGACCCGAAATACACACCATGGAGAACTTTTATATTAAAAAGTAAAAAAAATCTAAGTCAAGGGTTAGATATACGGATGTATGGTCATAGGGAGGACAGAAGACCACAGGCAGTATCCCTCCCTCCATACATGTGGCAGAAATCAATGTGGTTGTGCAGGGAAATTTCCTACTTGACCCCATTAGAAAACCTTTTTTTTCACAATTTAAGCCCAAATATCAACTTTCTTAGGTTCAACATCAGGTTTAAACCTAGAGATAATTGGAGGAAATGCCAGAGATGAAGACACTACAACTTACTTCCCTAGCTAGCTACCATAATAATATGTTTGCCACCTCATTCCTCCCTTCACCCACTGGAGTACTAGATAGCCCCAAAGCAGTGAGTTCTTTCTCCCCTTTGGAGGTTCAGGATATTGATCAATTATTTGAGATCAAATCAGCCCCCTACAAAATTTCCCCTCACAATGTTATACAGTACATCTCCATCGTGTATTGGGAATATCTCCCAATAATAATATCATCATTTCTAATATTAATCATTAGAAGATGTTTTCAATACACGGCGAGGATGTACTGTAAGACGTTGTAGGGACAATCATGTGGGGGCTGATTTGAATTCCAGTTCTTTCTAATCGATATTCAGTCTAGGCCTGTACAGGGACTTGGTCTAGGCTGAGCATTTACTAAACTTATGATCAACTTCTGTTCACATATAGATCCAACCTATATATATACATACATATTGGGGACACTAATAATAATGTACAAGCAATTCTTAATGAGATCCATGCATCAATCTAGCTAGATGCTTATACATGTCATGTCTAACATCTCTGTTACAAGATATATATATATATATATATATATATATATATATATATATATAAAAGTTGTACTTGGACTGGAATGTAGAAAAGAAAGCTAATTCAGTAATAACAGTGAAATTTTGTGGAAGGTTCATCCGTGGTTGTAAGAACAAATCGTCAAACTTTTTGATTCCAAAAAATCAACATGACCAGAGGTTATAATTAAAAGGAAGGTGCGGGAGAGAAGACTAATGGCCAAAATAGAGGAAAAGACTTTTCTTGTTCTATATATAGACTACCAAGCCTCTCTGTCTCTTCTTTCTTTTCTTCTCTTGCCTTGGATATTTAGTTCCACTACGGCTGCGTGTGGTCCCTGTTGTAACTTGTGAGCTGAGAGGGGTTCGGTCCTTTTTGGTCCTCTGATCACAGGACGAATCAAGTTGATAACCCTTATTTTGATTAGTCAAACTGATGCCAAGTTTTCTAATGGCAGAACGTACCCATGCAATTATATTGTGTACATATTGACCAAAGGGTGTGGCTACTTTCTATATACCCTCAATAATCTGAGCATTTGCCTGTAGAGCGACAAACCGATGGCTTACCATTACGAGATGCTCTTCTTCCTATATTATCTGATCGGCCTTTCGGCCCTGCAAGGATTGAATGCCGTAGAATATCAAGCCTTTAACTACGCTTCTGGGACCACTGGTGGAACCCGGTTTGATACCCAGATCGGCGTCGAGTACAGTAGAGAGAAACTGAAATCTGCCTCAGAATTCATCTGGCAAACCTTCCGGCAAACAAGCGAAACAGAGAGGAAGAGTGTGCAAAGCGTGAGCTTGTTCGTGGAGACGATGGCCGACGGGATGAACGGGTGGCACGGGGTGCCAGCGTATGCGGTAAACAACGAAATCCACGTGAATGCCACCTACATCGAGGTTTACAAAGGCGACGTAAATAGGGAGATCACTGGAATTCTGTACCATGAGGTAACGCACGTCTGGCAGTGGGACGGAAACGGCCAGCCCGGAGCTGGGGTTTTGATCGAAGGGGTTGCAGACTTCATAAGGTTGAAGGCCGGGTATGCACCATCTCACTGGGTGAAGCCCGGGGAGGGAAACAGCTGGGATCAAGGCTACGACGTGACCGCCCACTTCCTGGACTACTGTGATGGTCTTAAGAATGGGTTTGTGGCTGAACTCAATGCCAAGATGAAGACTGCTTACAGTGCCCAATTCTTCGTGGAGCTGCTCGGGAAGACTGTCGACCAACTCTGGGCTGACTACAAGGCCAAGTATGGGAACTGAGCGCTTTCATTTGTTAAGCTTTACCGAGAGCAACTACTTTATGATTCTATAATAAAATAAAGACGAAATAAGAAGTGGGAAATGGACTCAAGTCTTTGGTTTATCTGATTCCTCCGCCAATTCTATAATAAATAGTCTGCATCTGTTAGTCAATAGTGGCAGCATGTGGGCAACGACACAGGAAATACTGTGTTTCGTATATGCTTTATATAATATGTGGTTGCGTTCAAGTCAGAATAAAATAGTTGGGAACGTTTTCAGGCTGAAATGTTATATAAGCTATACTGTCATGTCATCTCTACCACAGTGAGACTTGTTTTCCTTAACCAAAGTTTTCATTGTCACTACGAAAGAGGTGAAAATATAACAAACATGGAAAGAACTATATTCCTTGAAAATTGAAATCCGTATAATTTCTAGAGTGGAATGGAAGACCCAAATGGTAGATATATTAGTTCTTGGAGCCGTCGAGACAAACCAAATTTGACAAAAAGCAAAGCAACAAACTCTCTTTCACAAAGGAAGTTCCTTGATTGCGGAGATAACTTGATTGATTGTCTGAAATCTACGCCTTTCCTTTAGAATCATCTTTGCAAACTCGAGAGCATGTTTCTCGCATTCTGCTCTTTTTCTAGCATCACGAATTGCTTCAAAATCCTCAACATGAGCCACACCCACTATCCTCCTGTAAATCAGCAAATAAAACACGTGGTTCTTGGCAGTTCCAAAACTTGAAATATCAACAAATCGAAACAAATTAAAAAGATATCCTTATTAAACTTTCCTCATTAAATAACCTGCAAATCGCATTCCCTTAGGCTGTGTGTTTTGTTTCCTACCTTTTCTTTCAAACCAAACACAGCCTTAGTAATCATATATTTGCAGATTTTCACACTTGCTCATTTCCTATCAATTACATATTTGGGTAAAATCTGAGTCACATTTATAATTTTGTGATTTTGATAATTCATTTAAATTCTCATTATAATAAAGAAATAATAGCAAATTTTCAACATTTGGATCCATCCAATGAAGCATCTATGGTCATGACCTCCTTCAAGGAATTAGAGTTTCTTCATTTGTACTCCCAGACATGTCCAAGGTCTAATATTTCTAATTTTGTTGGTGGAATGATGGTTTGTGGTTGTTTCTTATGTGTTGAAGACCTGCTGTATTGAAGAGTAACTGTATTGTCAAGCTCATGCAACTATACTGTTTATTGTAGGATAGCTACCTCAGTGAATGGTTTTATTCGTTTTGCATCTGACTTGCTAATAAATGACAAAGTTGACAGTACATCAAGGATGCTCGGGGCATCTGGTATCCTTAGGTTTAATAAGACTTTTAATGAAGTTCCAAATCATACGGATTGAAATCTGTACAACCATCTCATAACAGATAAAAAGAAAATCGAAGTATCTGAAAGGCAAGATGCATAATGTAGCTGTTAGCCTGCTCCTAACTACAACGAATGAATTGAAGAGGACATCCACATTCTGATCTAGTTAAGATAAGCTATTTGTCAGTATCATGTTTCTTGATACACCACAAAGGAAACATGATGGATCTTGATACATTTACCATCCTTAGGGTCATGGTGTTCATGGGTGGACTTGATTGGAACTTTTTAGAACTTAGCACAGTGGATGCTCGTTTCCACTCCAACCACTAATTCTATGGGAAAAATCCTCTTTGATTTCTCCCTCATTATAGATTGATCTAAGTTAACCAAAATTCGCATTTCTTAATAACATTTATAGGTTCATATGAAAAACCTGTTCTTTTTGAGTCTTCTGTTCAGACAGTTTTGATCCAAGGACCGTCATCGCTGTCCACCAAAAATAATAACCACAACCCCTTTACAAATTGGATATTGAAGATGCATTTCTTCATGGAGAATTCAATGCATGCGTATGGAGACCAACTGGTGGAGTATGTTGCATAGGGGAGCCCGACAGGGTGTGTGAACCAACGAAATCAATTTGAGACAGAAACATTCTCTGCATGTGTGGTTTTAAAAATCCGATGATTTTATTGTTGGTATAGATCTCACTTGTAGTGCAACTGTTTCGTATTAAAACTTGACAATATGTTTCTAGTGCAGTTTTCTAGTCAAGGATTTGAGCAATTCTGTACCGCCTAGGTGTATGGTAGGAATGCACAGGGTCAGCATTAACCTGCCTCAGAGGAAATACAAAGGAGAGAAATACTTGGAGCTACTACAAATTGGTAGTTATATTTATCTACCTATAAATGACAACCTGCTGCTGCTTTTTCTTAAGGATTGTTGATATGTTTATGCACTCTCCTGGATTACCTACTACAGAACTTAACATGAATCTCGTGATCAATCTCTCTAGGAACACAAAGCAAGGAATTATCTATAAGTCGATGAGAATATCATTACAGAGATTTGTTTCGGAATGGTTTTTCTCCATTTTTTCGTGTAGATGGGCCCCTCCTGCTGATTTGAGGACTCTCCTCTCACCTACTTTCTTTTTCCCTCCTAGAAAAAAGGGAAATATCTTATGGAGATGTAATAGAGAAACAATCCTATGGGCTGTTTGGGATGAGAAGAACAGCAGAATTTTCAATGGACAGAGAATATCAAGAAGTGCTATTATTGAATCATGAACAGTTTGCTTTGAGGAAATTCCTCTTAGGGACATTGAAAGAGGATGGAAGTGGATTTCTGAAACATCAAAAAGTAGAGCTCAGGTGATAATAAGTTAGAGACCTCCACTCGCGACCTTGTCAAATTAAACTTTGATGGCTGTAGCCTTGGCAAGCCAGGGCCCTCTGGTATTGGGGGGATTTTTAGAAATGGAAATGGTAACATTTTAGCTCTGAGTTATGACCTAATTGACGTTGGAAACTCTACTAGAGCAGAGCTATTGGATGTTCTTCAAGGGCTGAAGCTTGCTACATATTTAAACTTTAACAACTAAATAGTAAAAGGAGACTCTAAAGTGGTAAATTCCTGGTTAAGGCAAGGGAGACAAGCCAATTGGCAGCATTGGAATACAATAAAAGAAATTCAAGAACTGAGCAGGGAAAAGATAAGCTTTTGCATCTCAACACATAGATTTGCTAACGGTTTGGCAAATGCTCTAACTAAACAGGGAGTTCATAGATCTGAGTTCCTTTGGGGACAACTAGAGGATTATCAATGTGATGTGAAAAATGGAAAATCAGGGACAGGCAGCAGGGGCTGACCTTATTATGGGGCTGTATCTGTAGGCTTTCATATATTCTTCTTCTATGTACATTTTTCTCTAATTGGTAAAGCTAATTCTTAACTATCAAAAGAAGAAAAAATCAGCCTGGGAAGCCACACCAAAATAATTAGGCAGAATCAATTATTGGTTACTAATCCTAATCACCCTGAAGTGGTTTGTCACTTGGTTAGTATGAAATTTTTCAAAGAAAAAATGCCTGTTAAGCTAATATTTTTCAAAAGATCTCTGGATGGTAGTTGATCAGAATTTGCTAGACCATTTGCAAGTTGGGACTGTTATATTTTTAGAAACTAAGATCTTCTCCAGGCCTTCAGGACTATTGGAATCAAATACTCCAGTAAAGTAGAAGTGGGATCCTCCAAAGAAAAGGAATACAAGACATATTTCACAATTTCTCTTGTATATGAAAAGATCTTGAACAGATTCACTTTGATGGCCTCAGGTGTGTCAAAAGGGTGATGCTTGAGTCATCCAATTAAGAATTCTTGTATAGCCATAAAAATGTAAGAAAGATGTGTGTGTGTGTGTGTGTGAGAGAGAGAGAGAGAGAGTGGGGAAAAAATCAGTACAAGAAAATGTACGGATGGTATCTTACCTTATCATTTTGGCAGCACCAAATCCAAGAGTATCATGAAAAAGATCTTTCATGTACTTCTTCTGTGCAGATAGGCGAAGCTCAGGATTATTATATATTGCAGAAAGATATGCCTCACCAGAGCCATCCCAGTGATCATCCCAAAGTGAGGTAAACTTCTTCTGGAAAAGGTTCCATGTATCTTCTGTTGCCCTCAAGATCCATTGTTTATATGTCTGCATAATAACATACATTTTAACATAATCCAAGAGACCAAGAGAGAACATACTATTTACAGTACAATGTTGAAAGATCAATGATGGAATAACTTTGAAGATAAAACCAATAAATTAACACATTAGTTTTTCCAACCCCATCCCTGGAAAGGACATCTGCTAGAGAATTACCATTAAATGTAAGGTCCATGCTGAAAGCTAAAGGCCTAGCCTCTTTAATGTAATGGCACAGACATGGTGTAAATATTGTAAAATATGCAAAAATACAGAATGATGTTTTATGAAATAATAAAAGAAGCATGGGCAAACCTTTTTTAAATTATTATCTTGGTCGAAATCATTAATCAAAGCTAAGAAACTAAGGTTATAGACAAAAAAAATACGTTCTGAAGTTGTCCTGTAAACCTTACGATTCAAAGTTACATGACAGAATGAGTTAAAGCAAAATTTTAAACTCAAAAAATGAAAATGGTTCTAATAAATCAACCAAATAATCTATTACACAAACAAAATCTAATATTTAAATTAATGTTTGCAATGAATATCAAGCTGGCTGATAGTGGTAACCATATAAGTTAGGCAGGCATAAAATTGCTACTCCACATATCTACAATATTCTCACCAACTCATGTTATAATACTATCTCTTGTACCTTGCATAAGTGTTCATTGGGGAATATGTTGATTCCAGTACAATTTCATGCTGCTAACTTGCTACCCATGGAAATGGAAACATGTCGTGGAAACTATTTCTTGTACTTCACAAGTGCTGATAGTGTTCTCTAGGGAATATGTCAATTCCAGTAAAATTTCGTGTTGCTACCCATGGAAATGGAAATATGTTGTGGAAATATTAGGAAACTTAGGGACATTTTAAACAATGATCAGAATTAGGTAGAAAACTCTAAGAAATAGTTTAAAGAATGTTCATTGGGGAATATGTTGATTCCAGTACAATTTCGTGCTGCTAACTTGCCACCCATGGAAATGGAAATATGTTGTGGAAATATTAGGAAACTTAGGGACATTTTAAACAATGATCAGAATTAGGTAGAAAACTCCAATTTGTGACAGAAATCTGATTTCTCCAAGTAGAGATTTACTTTCCTGACCTTTGAAGGTGCCTTGACAGTTGATCAATATAAGAAATGAGGTGTCCATTGAGATATTTGATACATAACAAATAAAAGAAGAAGAATGTCATTCATCATGTCCTTCATTTTGGAGTTAGTAGTGATGTACAAAGCATCTTAGATACTCCTTTTGGAGTTGAGTCCATCTACCATCTATAGTCTTTTCAATCAATACCATATTATTAGATAACATCATAAACCATGGGATCTCCTATAATGTCTAGTTAGTTGAGCCATAACTAGTGCAAAAAGATATGACCTAGTGACACTTGGGGTAACATTTGATCATGTTAATGATCAAAAAGAACGACACAAGAAACAAATTTTCACATATAGTAACAAGTTAGGAAATAAAGCATTAGCACCACAAAAATAACCAACAAGATAAGTATAAGGAATTCTTACCAAAAAAAGATAAGTATAAGGAATTAACTTCCATTAAAAATTTAACAAATACAGCACACAAAGTATTATTGTAATGGGTTTTAGAAGTATGAAGCTTTAAAGTTTAATCAAGCAAATTAAATTCAAAAGAACCAACAAAATTCAAAGCTCAAAAAATAAGGAACATAAATTAATAACACAAAACACAACTCAATTAGTAGTAGAAGAATCCATGATACATACTTTGCGGTCATTCTCCTCATCAGAATGTCCGTCTTGTGAGAAGAAAGACAAAAACAAATTCCCCAGAAAGGCTCCTATGTCAAACCCCATTGGTCCAAAGAATGCAAATTCAGGATCTATAACTTGAGTGGAATTTTGGGTCACCATGACAGAACCAGTATGGAGATCTCCATGTATTAGGGCCTGGGATCTCTCACAGAACCTATAGTTAAACAATAACTAGTATATAAGGGGATTTTCATAGGTAAAATATGACAAAAAATGTTGGTGTCATTAAAAAGTTTATGAAAACAAATAAGACTTGAAGATAGCAACAGTACATGGATTTCAATTCAGCAATTTCAAGCTTCAGAATATTATCTTCGCGAATTGCCTCAGCATCATGATCAAGATAAGGAGAACTCCAACGGTTGTACTGTGAGACTTTATATGGGTCCGAAAAAACAACTTGTTCTGTAAGCCTGCATAACTCCACGTTCCCACAAAATTCAGCAACTGCATACATCAGAAACCCAACTGTCACTACTCACTATGCTAAATAAGGGTTGCAAGAAAAAACAAAAAGAAAGTTAAGCTTTTTATTGTTAAAAGTGCTTTCTCTATCATATAAGCAAGCATAGTTTACCTACAGGTGAACCACAAACCCAGGCAACATGATGACTAAGCTAATCAGTTGACCTCTTACTATTTGGATTACTGGGTCACACAAGCAACTTAGTGAAACAGGTATACACCTAAAAATTTTATTGATTTATGCACCTTTGAACTATGAATATGATCATATGTTTCCTATTATTCTTTTTCATCAACAATAGAAAAGTAAATGTTAGTACAAAGAAAAAAAAAAGGATAAGACAAGCCTGCAGACTCTAAGTAAAGGTGCCCTGGGGGCACCAAAAGCCCCCAACAAAAAGGGATGAGTTGAAAACTGCAATCTTTCAACTTTTTGACATTATGCATTTTAAGATTGCACTAGGATGCATTTTGACACAATTCAGTACTGTGCATTAACAAAGAGACTATCAACCAAAAAACGAAAAGAATGGATAATAATTTACTGAAAACTAAGAGAAAGCAAACTTAGTTTGGTCATCCAACAATTCATATATATGTCTATAGACAACATACCATTTCCATAAGCCCACAGTAAACTAATTAATTTATACAAAAAGCAACATGAAGCAATTAGTTGTCTCATGATGTCTCAGGGACAATTTTTCCCATCCAATTTATTAATATAATCATTGATTCTCCGCAACATTTTTTCCAATATAGACAAATAGTTCATTAAATACCACCTTATTTATTGGTATAATTATTGATTGTCCTCATAAATTTGTATAACATTTTCAAAGTAAATAGCGTGTTGAATGCTTTAAAGTTTTTTGCCTTTCTTCTATTCAAACTTTGAAACTCCACCTTCTTGCAACATCTTTTATGGTGAATCTCTGTAATTAGTTTATAAATATTCTAAAAAACAAGAAAAGATTATAATGCCCTCCAATGCAAACTAACTCTATAGCTATAACTATTTATAAAAATATGAGCAGGTTTAATAGAAGGTTGACCAATATGTTGCCTTTGAGACTAATAAAAGGCTTTACTACTTTACTAGTATTGTTTAATTTATAAAAAGAACAATCAATTTCATATCCACATATTGTTCATTTAATCATACCATATCTCTTAATATAGAAAGCTAAAAAAGATGAATTTGTAATTATAAACTTTATTTTTAATTATTTAGGCTTTAACGAAAACAACTTACATATGTCCAAGATTGGTGTGTTTATCCTTAAATTTTCCATGGTATCTTAAATTTTCAGTTTATCTAAGATTTGAATGAGTGTCCACAAAACACATCTTAGAAGTGTACTTGACAATACACCCACAGTACAATGTTTTAATCCCCTTTTCAGGAAATTTTTCATTGTTCCATATATTGATTAGCTTAGTCTTATGAATGTTGTAAGTCCATATAAGCTTCCTATGTATGTAGTGAGAGATAGGAAGCAACAATTCCAGAAATCTTCTTATTGATCTATTAAAAAAGAGGAAAATGGTGAATCAAGATTGAATATGATAAATTTCAGTTTGCAGTTTATTTTCGATCTTGGGTATTTCTTTTATGAGAAGCCCCATTCACAAGTTGCTAGTTGACTCTTCTGATCAATGAGACTTAAGTCCCAAAAAATAAATAAATAAGATTGTATTTATCAGCTGTTGTTTAGAGTTTCCAAAAACCCTTAGTCATATTTTGAGGAGGCATCAACTGTCGATTTCTGAATGAGTTAATTTACCAGCACGTTTGTGATCTGTAGTGGAAAGGTACAGAAGGGATGTGAAGAAAAGAGTCTTTGCCATGTACTCTGACATGTGCTCTGCAAGCAAGGGGTATTCAACTCCAGCAATCAAGCCTTTCCGCAGAATAATATGAGGAGGCTCCAAGTACCGCATAGCGATCAAAGACATAGTGCGGTCAAAATGATAAACTTCCGGAACATGATCCGGGCACAAGCGACCATGCTCTTTTAAGGCCATTGTTTCATAGTATGCGCGTTCCTTTGTCATTGGCCATGACTCCCCTATACAGCGGATGTATGGAAGGGCCTACAATATCACACAGCCAACATGCACTGAGAATCACTTCAAATGTTTTGATCCAATCATCGGAACAGAAGAAAATTTTAATTCTTATAGCAGGCTAACCTACAAAATACCTAGTGAACATAGAAGAGCTCAATAACACCCTTCATGAATCCCAAATGGAGTCTATATTATACTAAAGATAATCCGACCTATCTGACCTATGGATTACCCATACAGCCAATATCAATTTTTGGGATGCATATTGCATCTATCAATGAGTAAATTGGCATGATGAGATCCAGATGCTGAACTCCAAAAGTGCAAAACTCTTCTTGTTTTCTAAGTAAATTGGCATGATGGGATCCAAGACTCAAGAGGAAAGAGCAAGACATAGCATTTACTACCTTCTCTAAATCTCCGACTTAAATTATCTTTTACCCAAGGGGAAGATGATAAGATAATAAGCAGTGGATAATATATTTTTAGTTCCGGTGCAAAAGAGTTGTTATGCTGAACCAGTAATAAACATCTCTCTAATCAAACAAAGAAAGGGAGATTTGGGGTCGGGGTTACCTGCTTGACGACTAAAGAACCAGCAGAACTAATAACGATATAAACGAAATTAAGATTGCCGTCTCCGACTTCTGTAATTTGCAAGTCGTCGATTTTGTTCCCAAGCTTCAGTGACAGAGAAGGCGTTCTCTTTATGTATTCCACCAGAGACTTATCGTCCAACGGCAGAAACCCGTTTGCATCCATGACAACAGCTGCTGCTACTACTGTTCCGGAAAAGTGGTAGAGAGTACAGACAGCATAGAGCAGAGGAGTTGAATCACAGAAGAAAAGCAGCACGAAAAACGTTGGACTTAAAAAAAAAAAATGAGAAAAGATACCTTCCCTTACGAATTACGATAGAAACAGACAGAGAAACGGAGAACCCACGCAATACAATTCACACATACATTGAACCGGGACATCTTTTATCACGAAAAAAAAAAAAAAAACTGAAAACGGTTTGGTTTCCAAGTTCTAACTGCGACGAGCAGAACGCCAATGATGGTTGCCTTCTTGGTTCACATTATCACCTATGCTGCGATTACGGTGATTACCCAATAATATACTGCCACGTTCCAAAGTGCTGTTTGGCATGATGATGATTTCTTGAAAGTCACTTTCGAGCCGGTCAGCATTAGAGGAACCAGCATTTTTTTTTTTTGGCGAGGAACCAGCAATGAAATTTCTGTTTAGTTTATCAATTTTGATGATTTTCAAAAAAATCGGTCAAATTTTGATTATTGAAATCAGTCCTTTTCAGGATTCATCTTTATTGGTGATTTCCTATTTCTAGATTACTCCTATCTTTCTCACGATAATATTAGGGGTGACCAAGAAAAATCTAAAAATCGAACTAAACCAAAAAACCAATCAAAACCGAATTGAAAATCCATGAACCGACTTTCGGATCAATATTTAAAAATAAACGAAGGTGTCAGATTTCGGTTAACCAATATAAAAAATCGGTTGTTAATTGAATCAACAAGTATATATATGTTTCTTTATATTTTATATATGTTTATGTATATTATATATTTGTATATATATTATAAATTAATAAATATGCATTATATATAAATATATATTTATAATATATAATATATTATTTATTATTTAAAATGTAATATTATATATATTTTTTTTATTATTATAAATTTATATATTTTTATAATATATATTATAAATATAAAAACCAAAAAACTAACGAATTGAACCGATCAACTAGTTAACCCTTAACCGATCGGCTTCTGTTTAGTTTTAGTTATCGATTTTACAAAAATAGGTAGGACCAATTCGGTTTCAAAAATAGGCCCAACTGAACCGTGAGCACCCCTATATAACATGACATCCAATATCACATTGAATAATAACATTAGTACAAAAATAATTGGCATTTAAAAATCAGTACAAAACAGGTTTAGAGCCAATTTGTCAAAAATTGGCTTACATAGCATAAATGATACCAAATAACAATTTTTTGTAATTTTTCAAAAATCACCAATTTCTAAATTGATGGAGGTAGATTTGGCCCGACCCCTTGGTTGTGCGACACGTGGAAGAAGATAAGATGACCTGGCAGGAACGCCAGCTCGGCACGATGATTTAGCACGGCCATATCCCGAAGAGAGGCCCGAACTCCCGAGCTCCCGAGCTCCCCAAAAGGAAACCCAAACTCTCCCTAAAGGATCCCGAGGCTAACAGCGAAGCCCGCGAGGGGCAAGGCCGGGGCCAGCCCACCTCAAGCCAGTTCAGACCATGTGCCAGCACTTCGGGACAGTAGGATCTGCTCATCCGAGATCAAGACTTCACCTCGCGCACCACTCCGGTACCTCGGCTCCAGGTCGCACGACTGTGAAACCGTATCTGACATCCGTACTCTGAGGCAATACACCTGACTGATCTGGGTCTGACAAACGGCAATCATGCCGTAACGGCCACCTGCCACCGCGATATCAGTTGTGGCAGAGACAGCCATGACAGAGAGGTCAGTGGCGGTTATGCCTGCCCCCCACAGAGGCGGTCATGCCTGACTTAGCAGAAATTTGGGAGTAAGTGCACCAGGTGGCTATAAGAGGCCTTCCTCCCCCAAGAGAAAGAGGTATGTGATATTTTGTGCTTTCTGGTCGTGAAATCCATTATTTCCCCCTTGCCTTCTCAAGAGCACTAACTTGAGCTTCGGAGTGTTCCAACCGGGTTCCTCCCCAGAAATCCCCAGCTTCTTCCTTGTTTCAGGCACCTTCAGCTCCGTCAGATGCGAGGTAACCGGCAGCTAGGACCGACCGGATTGCGCATCGCCATTTGGCGCCGTCTGTGGGAAGACTTCAAAAAGCCTCCCCTAACCTTTAACCCTCTCTCTCTCTCAAAGAAACCTTAGCATCCATGGCTTCCTCCAGCATCAACAGGCACAACGCCGACTTGAATGCTATAGGGGAACACCCTCAGCCCGCCACTGTATGCATCGGACAGTTCACCATCTCCCTCTCGGCGGACAGAATCCCTAGCCTCAATGCACCGGGCACGGTGGCACCTGTGAATGTTCCCCTTCCCCTCCCTATCGAGACAACCTTCGCCGAACTGACCGTTGTCCCTCTGGCGACTAGCAAGAACCAGCTTGACGACTTGATGCAGTGCATGCGGGCAATGCAAGCCGGTCAAGACCTCCCCTCACGGCGGGCACCTTCACCGAGGGGAAGCTTCCCAGCTTTAGAACCCCTCCAGAAGCCAGGCCACATCCCCGGGTAGGAGGGAAAGACTAATTACACCCGTTTCGCAGCTCGCCGACGGATCAGGAACCTGCTTGCCGATCAAGTCAGCACTTCGGCACTCTAAGTTCGAGCTCCCGCTCGCAGAGAACCAATTCGGCGTCCTGGCCGAGGCAAGCAGCGCCAATACCTGGCAAGCAGCGCCGAGTATGGGCCCATCGAGCTCGGCAACACCGAGGCAAGCAGCGCCAATACCTGGCCTTCCAAGCAGCTGCGGAGGCACCGGCGAAGTCGCCGAACTACCACCTGCGTCCTGCCCGAGCTCCGAGGTAAAGAAGAAGCAAGCTCGGACGAGGTAAATGTTGCCCCTATTCTTTCAGTCCCTTCCTCTAGACAAGTATGATGGGTCCTTTGACCCCAATGACCACGTCGATGTTTTCCAATCCCAAATGCACCTGGCATGAGCCAGCGAGTCCTGCATGTGTGTGGCCTTCACTACCACCTTCAGGGGAGTCGCCCGCACCTGGTACAGGAACCTGACCCCGGGTCGATAAGAAGCTGGACCCAATTCGTGCAAGTCTTCACCGCGCACTTTGTTACCAGCAAGTGGTGCCCCCGAACCAAGGAGAGCCTCCTTGGAATAGTCCAGAGGGAAGGAGAGCATCTGAGGCTATGTCAAGCGGTTCAATGACGCGTGCTTGCAGATACCGCGCCTAGACCCCGCGGTACAACTCGCGGCAGCCAAGAGGGGTGTGACACACAAGGAGTTCAAGTGGCACATGGTAGTCAACCAGCCCGCGACCGTAGCTGAATTCCTCAAGCTCGCGGACAAATTCATAAGGACAGAGGAGGAGATCAACCAAAGGACTGAAAGTGGGATTGAAAAAAGGAAGAGGGAAGGCGAACCCTCCAACCCAGATGATAGGAGAAAGAAAGACCCACCTCGGGGGACGAAGCCAAGCTAGTCGTTCCGAGCTCCCATAGTAGGTCGGACAGACTACACGTCCTTAAACGCGAAGCGGGCCGAGATCTTAATGACGATCAAAGACACCTCGTATGTGAAGTGGCCACCTCATCTGAAGGGGAACTCGAACGAGAGGAATAAAAACTTGTATTGCAGTTTCCATAGAGACCACGGTCATAGTACAGAACATTGTAATAATCTTCGCGATGAGATAGAGGAACTCATCCGTCGCGGGTACCTAAGAAATTTTGTACAGCATAATAATAATAACAATAATAGCAATAAGACAGGTCGGCAGGGAGAGCACAGTAGAGATGCTCCTGAGTCCAGCAGCCGGCCAGCAGAACCACAGAAGCAGCCCCCGGAGGAAAGACCAGTTCGGGGAACAATCCACGTGATTGTTGGAGGATCGATTGTAGCAGGGCGCAGCAGCTCGGGCATCAACCCGGGAGGCCGCCAGAGAAGAACAAAATCCGCCAAAGCGGCCTAGGACGGAAGACCCCATATTCTTCACCGAAGACAATGTGCATGGGGTCCACTACCCCCACGACGACGCACTTGTCATAAAGGTGAAGATCAACGACTTCGAAGTTCAGCGCGTACTCATTGACTCCAGCAGTTCGGCAAACATCCTTTTTAAAGCATCCTTCGACAAACTCCAGTTTCGAAAGAATGACTTGAAGCCCGCGAACACCCTGCTGGTCGGCTTCAGCGGAGAAGAGGTCAGACCCCTAGGAAAGGTCACAGTACCCGTGGAAGTCGACACGTGGCCTAGCACGGTAAGACTCAGTCACAATTTCTTGGTAGTTGCAACCCCCTCCCCCTACAATGCCATAGTAGGTCGGTCGATCACCCACGCTTTAAAGGCCATGGTGTCTACTTACTATTTAGCCATGGATTTCCCAACGGACTTCGGCATCGGGGTAGTGCGGGGCGACCAGCTCGAGTCCCGCAAGTGCTATGTCGCCGCCCTCAAGGGAAAGGCCAAGGTAATCAGAGACCTCGAACTGGAGCGACCGGTGGAACATGACGAGGAGCGAGCTGCACCAACAGAGGAAACTGTTCCCATCCCTGTCTCGGCAGAAGACCCAGCCAGATCACTTCAGGCCGGTGCGTCCTTGGAAGAACCCTTGCGATCCGAACTGGTACGTTTCTTACTCAGTAACTTAGATGTTTTCGCTTGGTCTGCGGAAGAAATGTCCGGCATAGACCCTAAGGTCATAAGTCACAAGCTCAATACTGACCCTGTAGTTAGGCCCATTAGACAGAAGAAACACAACTTAGCCCTAGAACGCTGGAGGGCGGTCGATGAGGAGGTCGAGAAAATCTTCGCAGCAGACTTCATAAGGGAAGTTCATTACCCGAGTTGGGTACCCAATCCCGTTCTGGTAAAAAAGGCGAACCGCAAGTGGCGCATGTGCGTCGACTACACCGACCTGAACCGAGCTAGCCCGAAAGATTGCTTCCCCCTCCCCAGGATTGACTGCCTAGTGGATGCGACCTCGGGACACGAGTTGCTAAGCTTCCTAGATGCCTACTCGAGCTACAACCAAATCAGGATGGACCCTACCGACGAGAAAAAATCGCCTTCATAACCGAATTCGGCCTGTATTGCTACAAGGTTATGCCCTTTGGACTGAGAAATGCTGGGGCAACCTTTCAAAGGCTTGTGAATAAGCTGTTTCAATCCTTACTTGGCACAAAGATAGAATGTTATGTAGACGACATGGTCGTCAAGACACAGTTT